GGCTGTGGTTTCGCTAGATAGCAGTAGTAGTACTTGTTGGTTCAATTCCATTCTCTAATTCAGCGAGAATGGTTGTAGTACCATAATGTTAGAACATTGCTATATTATATTTATTCTATAGAGGGTGTTCTCCGTGCTATGTCTGGAAGGAATGCCATATCTGGAAGTCATTGGGGGAGGGAAGAATCAACATTGGACGTCCTACGGCTGATATGATAGTGATAGAGAGTGTTTAACCATCATTATATTATGACAGTTTAATAATAAAGGCCTTAATGCAAAGGACTCCATATATCATCATTATTAGTCATAAAAGTTGACTATCAGATTATAATAACTATCGTGAGACATACTAAATTAACAAAAATATCGCGGGTTACTCACGTGAATATACTGAGAAAAGTTCTACTAGTTTCGAACCACATAGGGGTTCCTCATGAGCAGCGTGCGCGGTCGCGGCGATGTCGCGTAACCTACTGTATACTGTACTGTATAGTATATTGGATAACGCGCGATTTTTAGTTAATTCACTATCAGATCTTCGATAATGATCAAAGATTTAGCTATTTTTAGCTTTGAAGCTAATTTAGACTAAAGACTAGCTAGGTTCCCTCAGGTTCTATAAAACTAATTATATGACATAATGAAAAAAGTAAAAAATTACCAGAATTACTAGGTAAGTCATCCTCACCGTTGGGTCGCAAAATAACTTCTCTCATTTCTTAAGGAAATTAATTTTGTTTTGTTTACGCTGTTAAATTAGCTTTTTTATTATCACATTTCATTTTCGTTAGTCTTTCTTGAGTAAACAAATTATTCTTTCGTCTCTTAATCGACGCTGTTGGACCTACATTTTGTTTTAATATGCGTGTCAGTATCTACTAAAGGTTGTAGCAATTCATAAAAGTAAAGAACTTTTACTAAATAGTACGATATAATTAACTTTATCGATAGCTATTTTGATTAATTATATTACTAAAGTAATGTAAAGAAATTTGAAGTGTTTAACAAGTTCCAAGCTTGGACCAAGGAAAAAATAGTTCAATTAAACTGACTAATGCAACGATGCCAAAAGTCCAGAACCATACAATATTACAATGTACATAAACATTGAAAAATTAAATGGAAATTCCCATGATATACTTTTTTGGCAGAAACCTCTCGCAAATTGCACTCAAGAGAGAACACCCACATTGTTAAATCTGGTAAAATTGAAAACGTTATTACAAAAATCATTATTCATCTAGATTTAAGTAAAAGAACAATAAGATTATACACCCAGAAAGTATCTTAAAAAATTACAGTGAGTCCATTCCAATTCTTTACCCGATTCATTCGTACAATACTTTATGAAAGAAACCTTTTAGCAAAATACAAAACTGGAACAGAACTTAAATAACCGAACATTGTTTTAATGCAGTTCTTGCAAATAAACCTGTTGTTTGCATTCATCGTAGGTACCGATACAGCCAAGTGATTTTACTTCTGAAGGATTTTCTCCAATACTTAATGACCATCTTTTTTTCTTTTGTCTAGTTTAAAAAATAGATGGTTATTTGTTTTTAGTCCAGTTGATTCCTTGTTACAATGTTACCATTGAAAAAGCTCATTACTTCTTTTGTTAGTGGCTCATTGTTCATTCGGAACATGTTCCTGGTACGGAAAATAAGTAAAAAATTTTATTCTTCGTTAAAACATTTGTTTCGTGAATCTTTATATTTTTGTTGTGCAGATGAAATATTTTTAATTTCCGCGCCAACTGTAGGATTTACTGTTATTGCAAGTTGACAGAAGGCACATTTTGCTACCACTCTTAATTGTCTCATTACGTAATGTCGCTTTAATCTATGTAGTGTAAAGCGAACAAATTGTGCAGTTTTTTTAATTCTAGTTCCGTTTCAACCACATCAGATTTAGTATTTAATAAGAATTTTGTCTTATCCTTTTAAAAAATGTTCTTTAACTCGTCGAGTACCGGTTTTGTAGACACAATTATAGAAAAATAGGTTGCGGTCACCGGTGACCGCTTGGTGTTTGACAGTTTAAACAACTACTTAACAGATTTTTTAAAATATTTAACATTATAAAACTGAATCTGCACAAACATTTTGCAGCAATTTACTTTGTCCGTTACCTCCATCTCATCAGCTGAACTTCCAAAGACTTTGAACATAAGTTAGGAAACATACTTTTACACCGCTACCGGGCCGAGGAATAAAACCATAATATTATTTATGAAATACAATCTTTGAAAACTCGTTAGAAGTATCGAGCAACTCTTTAAACGAGTTTATCCAAAGATTATGCAGCTGCAAATATTTATACACCGGTGAAATTAAATTGTCGCCTGCAAGTTAATCTTGGACTAACTGCTCGGTTAATAAAGGTAACTCTGGTTGCAGTTGGAGCAATCTTGGGTAGAACGTTGAACGGGAATACTTTATGCAAAGTTCAGAATGGAATTTTCAGTATAGTTTAAAAGCATGAAAATCTGAGAAGGAAAGTATTAGAAAACCATTTTCACTAAATTGGTCCTTTGGTCCTCAGTTTGGTCCTTAGTAACGGAAAAGGACATTTACACGGAAATACAGAAGTTAGTTTTAGATAGATCCTTCCGATTACTAAATGGACTAAACAAGATAAAGAAAACGTATCCAAATTGATCGAAATAGACAATTACTATTCTAGACAAATTGTTTTTTTTATATACTGTAATAAAGAATATAAATATTTACAGTATAAAAAAATCTCAGTAGTAGCACGGAATCTAGAATTGTGCCCGGTATATGGCAGTAGGGTCAAATCATATTAACAAATCAATTTAAATAATATTTTATTACGTTATAACTCCTAAACTCCTCAATTAAATTGACAACTCCTTCCTCAGCGGAATAGCTCCGACATTGGATTATCGATTTAGTTCCGTTTTACCAGACTTCGCGCATCAGGTGTCACTGCCATAATTGTATCATTTTCAGACATGTACTAGGCCTTTGCGATATAATATTTCGATATAGTATCGAGTTCTTAGGAAAAGTATTTCTTGTGTGATGGAAAACTATTCGATAAAGTTATTTTAGACAGTTTAGTTGCCTCAGCTAGTTTTACGTAAGGTGTAATTTGTACAGATCAATTGAAATTTTATTCTGAAGGTAGCTCAACTCATGTGTGTTTTAATTTGTACGCGTTACGCTCTTTTTCAGACTATTTGAAACTAAATTATTAGTTATAACATTTATGTGTCGATGTCAACAGTGCTAAAGTCTAATGATAACTAAAAAATATCAGAATGATTTTTCACGCTTAGCAATTCATTACATTATGAAAAAAAGACTATGAATATTAGTTTATTTTTAGACTTTAGCAGTTCATGAATAAGAATCTTTTTTGTGTACAGTTTGATTATTAGTTACTGTCTACAAGTAAGCTCTTTCATTAAGTTTTGTTAATATCGTTCCAAGAAAGCTATTTTTGTTCTATTTATTAAGAGATTCTGAGAATTAAGGTCATTTTCCAACAATTATTAGTTTGAAGCCAATTAAACAATTGCTCTCTAAACTTAATTAACTTGGCAAGTACATAAACCAAAATTTAATATCTAAATCAAAATTTATGTCATAAAAACGATAAAAGTTCGATGGTCTCTACTAATTTTCTCACTTAACCTTATGATTGTTTGATCTACCAAATTCAGCAATTCTCTAGAATTGCATATAGCATTAAATTATGTATCATAATATAGGTACAATTTTGTGTACATCAAAGTTTTAATGAATAAAAACTATCCTATTAGTGTAAATAAATAAGTATCTGTGGAAGAATATTTATATACAAAGGTGGAATACCCAGCCACTTGAGGGCCCATGATAGACGCCAATAGTCAAGAAGCGGTCGCCGTAGCCGAAACTGGCATGGAGGATTATTATTATTATTATCCTATTGGTAATACTATAAGGCAATAGACTCACCCCCTATTACACGGGACTCATATCTAACATAAATAGTGAAAAGTGGGTGTTATATTGTACAGTGGCTTTAAGTGCCGTAATGTGCACTGCTGCCTACCCCTTCGGGGGTAAAAGGCGTGATGTTATGTATGTATGTATGAAACTATATATTTCTTTACACTAGAAGAGTAGCGTGCCAAAGCTAACTCTCGTAATAAACTTTAAGGAGCGCAACAAATACAAAGTAACGGAAAATCAGTCAATAAGGACGTTTGTTTTATCAGACAAACAACCCTAGTTTACATAATCGAGTTTCAACAAAGTCTTCGGCATTAAACCGGCGTTAGAGTGGCGATCAATCAATGATTACTGGTACTTAACAAATCTAAACCTTATCTAGACAACTGTTTTGTAATAGCGTCCTTTACGTCTTCGAAAGCTTTTCTGATTCTGTCTTCAATTTGATTTTGAGGAAAACGAATACTGTCTGTTTATTTGTTGTCGATTTCATGACTAAAAATATCGAATATTTATTTATTTCTCTGTGAATAATTTGACTTTGATAATCTTAAAAATAATATTTTTCAGACAAATAATAGTCTTAAAAATAATATTTTTTTAAGATTGGAATTGAAAATAAAAATTCACTGAAATTTTTATGATAGACGTGCACCTAATAACTATGTCATTGATATTTTGAATCAGCAATTGAATTATTTCATCCTGATGAAAATAATCGTGAATATATTTCCGACTTACATCAGTCTAAAATTATAATTAAAAGCTGTAATTTAATAAAATGTATATAGTACATCTGGTTTATTTCATCATGTATAATGTACAACTGACACAAATCATATGTGGGACATTTTTTATGGGAATTTGTTTATAAATTATTATGGGACAAATGAACCATATTAAATTTTTGTCACATACATAAATAAATACTGGATTTGCGTACCGGAGGACCACAAATACTCCCATTCTTCTATATGGTCCTCATTATATACCAAAACAAAAGTCTTTAAAAGAAAATGAAATTTATTTTTATACCTGAAATCCATCATACGTCCAAGACGCCCACTTCATGGTGCACAGCTGGACATCGAACGGGAACTGCTCGACGTTGATGTCACACACAGACACATAGATCCCATGGCTCAGCCACGTGACTTCTCCCGTGTGTTTCACTATCACGTTGGTGTTGATCACCGCTGACCGATAGTTTGGGTCCGCACTGGGAAAAAATGAAATTGTATGAATTATAAAGAAATATAGAACTACATACAATACATACTAACTACATTATTATAATTTTTAATGTTAATAATATCATAAATTAATATTAAGTTTTAATTCCTTAATAGAAACATTATTAATGTTTCAATTAGGATATTCCTAATTCCAATTAGGATCCTAGTTATATTTATAAAATGAAATA